CGGCGGCAGCAACGCACCATCACGATGAAAACATCCGATGACATATTATATGGGACAGCACAGCACACATAAATGTCATCATAACTTTCCGGGAGCACGGGCGGAGGGAGGGAGAAGGGGGGGGTTACTTTGTTCGCGGCTCTCTGATTCGAGATCACTGCTCAAGCAAGCGGGCTTATTGCGTTACAAAAATTTACCCCGACGTGAAAATAAAATGTACCCTTCCATTTACAACTACCCCCGAGTTCAATACGAGGCCACTCGTGAGAAAAGAACCCCATAACAGACCGCTTACTTAGAATGACGTAATTCGAGTTGAACGACCTCTTATACGACGAAACGAATACGCTGTGTCCGAGAACGGTACGCGAGAAAGAGATATGAAGCGCTCAGCCTGCAGCAAAGCGACACAAACGCGCATTGGAGCCAATCCATTTCCCACCTCCCGTTCCCAGCTGTCCACCCATTTTCCTCCATTATTTCTAGTCACAGTCTGTCATTGCGCAGCCAGCGTTACGCCTTCCTCCCCCGTCCATTCGCAGCTTTAATTTTTTCTTATTTTTTTCTTATTTTTTTTTTTTATTTTCAATTTGCCTCGCGCTCTTGTTGCCTTTACGGCGCATAGCGTTTTCGCACCGGCGACCACGCCGCGGCGCTACTGCACAGCCGGCAGTGAATCAGACTCATTCTAAGCGGCGCTTCACCCCTTCCCCCCTCCTCCCCCTCCCCCCCAGTTTCAAATTGGTCACGGCATGGCGCTCAACGTGGGGCCAGCCACCGCCGCCGCCAGAGCTCGGCGAGGGGAAGGCCAGAGCCCGCGGGGCCGCCCAGACCGAGAAGCCAAGCCAGCCAGGCTCAGCAGCCAGCCAGCAGCCGGCCCCTCCCTGACCAGTGCAGTGCCCCGCAGCGTTGCGCTTTGCCGGCGTCACGGCGCCGGCGCCCCGTGGCGGGGCGTGGCGGGGCGGGGCGGGGCGTGGCTCCGCCCGACGCCCTCCCCCTCCCTCCCTCCCTTCCGATCTCCGCCGTCTGCTCTCCTCACTCAGACCGTCGCGCCCATGCCCCATGCCGCCATTCGCACGCACGCGCTCGTATGCACACAAAACAAAAATCGCAGCGCGAAATAATCCCTAACGTCTATACTTTTCAAGGTTGCAACGGCGTTCAAAAATTCGAGTCGAAACTATGAGTCAGAGCGGAAAAGTCCTATAACTGTAAAGATAAAAACTCGCGATTGAAAGATTTTCTTTGAATTGTTTTTAAAGAACAATTTCTTCTGATTCTACGAATACCAACACTGTAAATAAAAATCAGAATTTTCCAACAAAATTCTGTCCGAATAGTTTGGAAACACGATTTTCCAAACAGTTGTTGGAAAACAAAATTTCCAGTTCAGTGCCTGGAAATTTCCGAACAATTTGGAAAAGAAAAAACGAACCGTTTTATACCAGAACCAAGTTTAGTAGCATCAAAAATGACAATTTGCCAATATATTCAAAAATGTTAGTCATACGTTTTTGAGAGATCTCTAAAAAGTTTCGAAATTTCCAAATAGTTCGGAAAATTGTGTTTCCAAACTGTTCGGGCTGCAAATTTTCCAGTTCATTGTTCGGAAATTTTCAACAAAACTTTTTATAGTGAACTGTGTTCGTATATCCTTACGTGCCCCTCGTCAGCCGCCAACGACGAACGGACCGCGCGCCAAACTCACCTGAAACAAACAAAATCACGCCTTAATTATTGTTATTATTATTAATTATTGTTATGATCAAAAAGGACAATCACGGAGACGCGACAGATAATGAAAGGTATAAGGTCCAGAGTATACTGTACAGCACAGCACAGAGAGAGCACACGTCCGCCAGCCGAGCCGCGCTTCACTTGACTCAAATAAGCGGTTGCGGGTCATACCGGCAGGTGATCACCGCCCAGGTAATGGTATGGGCAACATTCATCGTCGTCAATTAATATTGGCAGCGGATCCACATTTACACCCACCCCCTTTCAATTCCTACACCACACAAAACACCACCCGCATCCCGCATATGGTTCCTGACGATAAAGTATACATGTACCGTGTTCTGCAAACACACCACCACGTCGTCGTCGACCGGCTGACCCGGATCGCAAAAGTTTAAAGGTCGTCGCGCGAAGTCTGTGACCACCACAGGCGGAAGATGAGCGAGGGAGAGAGCGATAGAGAGTGAGAGAAGGAGAGAGTGAGAAATAAGCGAGCACACCGGCGAAGACAGCTGGCTACATAGCAGAGTGAAGAAGCGAGCGAGAGATGCTTGAAGCAGCCCCCTCATCATCCATCTGCACGACACAAACCAAAGGCGCAAACACCACACCACTTTCGCTCAATTTTTTTTTCTCTACTTCTTTCCGGCAGGGTATATGCCCGAGTGGTCTATTCTACACGCACCCATAGCGCCATATTCTTTACGAGCGATCGCGCAGCGCTCGTACGGCCCCGCCAATTGGAGCGAACGCTAATGCATAGAGGCCAGGCTGGGGCCTCTAACAAGAGCCCCGCCCCGCCCCGCCCCGCCCCGCCTACACCACCTCGCCCGGACCCACCCAGAGCCGCCAGCGAGCCAAAGCCCGGCAGCGAAAACCAATAAACAAGGACAGGTTCATTTTTCTTAGTCAAGATTTATTGAAGGCGAGGGAATTTTCAATTGCATTTTTTTTTTAGCCATTATTTTCTTTTCGTCTGTCCACCACACTGCTCCAGCCGCCGCCTCCCTATGGGGAAGTTCCACCTTACACACGGATTCCGCAGATTCTGACAAAAGAACAGCCTGCTCGGAGAGCGACTAGTACTTTGGTGTACTTGAAGTACATGGAGTAGTACTTGAACCTTCACGAGGGCACACACAAACGCGCAAGCCGCCGCCGCGAAGTGCGCTCCGGGTAGGTTCACTGCACTCGTGTAGTATAGCATGCCCGGCACAGCGCAACTCCCTCTCTCTCTCCCTCTCTCACCCCGCCGCCGCCTCCGAGAATGTCAAGTTCAGCAAACTCGAGGAAGGACTACTACTACCACCACTACTACATGGCAACAAGCCGGCGTGCGCGCGCGGGGCTTCCAGCTGCACCGCCACCGCTGCTGCAAACAGCGTGTCTGCAGCGACCTGCTGCTGCTGCTGCAACGCGTTCCGGAGCACTGCTCTGCGTGCGCAATATGCGCGTGGCATGGCGTGGCGGGGCGGGGCGTGGCGGGGCG